AGCAGACACTACACACCCCACACGCCTGTGCCTCCACATCTGGGTACCTGGACGTGGACCTGGCCATGTGATTCTCTGGTGGGAGATGATGCTGAGGAAACAAGCTCCATCACCACTCGTCCAGCCCAGGTGGCTGTCACGGGTGCTGGCCAGGCCAAGGAAACCATCCCCTTATGGCAAGGTCCTCTTGGAACCGAGAAGGGCTTGGCCTATGGGGGATTTCCAGGGGGGAGCACTGGAGAGCCCAGTGTCCCAGGAATTCGGTGAGGACAGGCCAGTCTACACCAGCATCTTAAGACAGGATGAAGCTGATTTCACGGCCAGAAGGAGAAACAAACTGACAGAGCGTCCTGAGGCTGGCTCAGCCTTTTGCCCTCCGCAGTGTCAGGATGTTTATGACATGGGTGAGGCTGGGCCTGATGGGGAGACCGACCTGGGGGCTGGGAAAGTGGGGACAGCTTTCTCAAGGCCTAACAAGAAAGCGGGACAAGTAAACAAGAGCAAACAAACGAATGAACCAGGCACAGAGCCAGGAGACCGGTGAAGAGTTAGAGTGAGCTGGATGTTCATGACCTGCCCGTGGTGCTGTCCATAGCCCCGAAGGCCAGTGACAAAGCTAGGTAACACTTGGAGAAGGACGGTGAGCTCAGGTGGGGGCCCTTGGTGTCACTGCCATGAAGCTAACCCACTGCTATGTCGCCCCGACTTCGTGCACACCGCTCTGCGCGGGGCCAAGGCCACCACCAGCACTGCTTTGCTTGGGAGTCCCTGCAGGTGTCACTGGCCTCACGCTGACTGGTGAGGGTGATCCGAAGTCACAGGACACAGGGGAGTGGCTGTGCACACACCTATGCAGGGGGACGGGCTGCCAGCGCCACGGAGACCTCCGCCCCTTGGGTTGGTGAGGTCTGAGGGCTCCTGCATCTGATGGCCTCTCCTTCCTGTGGCATGCTCTGTGCTGATGGAGAGGCAGCCGCAGGGACGGTGACCCTGATGGGGCACTTTTGAGGAAGCAGGGACCTTGACAGCCAGTGTTGGCTCTGGGCCTCTTCGCCTGGCCAGCGGGTGCAGTGAGATGTTGGCGGCACCCAGGTGGCCAAGTGGGGCTCTCTGTGACAGCACGGTTGCTCCTGTGGGAGCAGCAGGTCCCAGAATGCATGGCCACCTGTGGCAGGGGCCTGACCCAGACCTCACCTCAGTGCAGCTGCCTGCCAGTCAGGGAGGGAGATGGCTCGATGCTGGGCACAGAGCCCACGTCTCCTGAGTGGTGCTGGTACTCAGCCTGGTCACCTGTGAAACCATCTCCCACTTCAGGCCTGCAAGCTCCCCAGGACAGGAGGGGAGCCCCAACCTGACAATGCTGCTGTGTGGATAGGTCCAGCAGGGTGGAGTCTCTGGACCACTGCTGCTGCTGCTGCTAATATTATGCGGCTTGGGACCGGAGGACAACAGGCAGCTCGGGCAGTACATCTGGGACTGGCTGCTGGTTGTCTGTTCTGACCCTGCCGTGTGCCAGGTCTCACCGCCTCTGCCAACCAGAGAGTGATACTGTGGCCACTGCCAAGGCCTGGAGAAGCTGAGAGCCATGTGCTGGTACCTGTGCTGGACTGAGAGTGACCAGGAGCCCATCTCACAGGACACGTGGCCCAGGAATTGTGCAAATACATGGTGACACATTCATCTGCCACGGAACCTGGGGCAGCAGGGTGAGTGCCAAGGGAGAGCCCACGAGAGGGCTAATCACAGCAGCAGGCGTGGTCCACAGGAGAGCCTGCTGTGGCTGCCGGGCTGAAGTCCCTGGAAGAGGTGGACGAAACTAGTCACCCACGCGGCTGGCATGGCTGAGTGTCTGGGGCTCCAGCCCAGAGGTGTCTCACCCCAGCTGCTCATCCTGACCTGTGCTGCTGTCTGGACACGTGGACAGGGAATGGCACCGTCCCCACAGCACAGCAGTGACCCCTGAGCAGAGGATATTTCTGCGGGACCCAGGGTCTCCCCGGCTGCTCCTCCAATGGGGCAGCTGCTTTCTGCTGTATGTGGGGAGCTTCAGCCCCTAAGCTTGGACTCCCTTGATCCTGCTGGACTCTGGGCCCGGTCACGGCTTGTGCCCTGTGGGCAGCTGTTGGCCCCTGGATCTGGTGTGCCATTTCACCACTAGTTCCAGGATCACCCACGGACCTGGCCTGTCTGCAGCACGTGTCGTGGGCTCCAGAACACTGGCCCCCAACCACTGCCATGCTGTCTGACAGAAATGCTGTCACATGACTGTCATGCTGGACGTGCAGATTTACCTGGACAAACTCCTACCAAACATCTGCTTTTGCATCTGTGGTTTTAGGGTTCTGCTGGTCTGTGGTCTCTGCTGGCAAAGGCTGCCCTGCACACTGATGTGTTCTTGCAGTGGGCTCATCTCTATGCTCCTGCCCCAGATGTTGCAGTTTCTGTGGGACACCGTGGGCATCTCCTCTCAGAACAAGACTGGAAGGCTCTCAGTGATGTAAGTGAGGGGCTCCACAGGGTCAGGCACCTTGAGCACCAGGGACAGAACCAACTTCAGTACCACCCAGTGACCCACACAACAAGTACCTGAGGAACTCCGGCCGTGGCACTGCCTTCACCAACAGCGCCACACAACTGGCTGCATGGAGTTATGCAAAACCTCAGGGGCAAAGACTGAACGCCGGAACAATGGGAGACCTTGAGAAATGTGGGGTGGATTGTGAATGAGTCCTAGATGTGGGCGCCTGGTGCTTAGGCAGCTTTGTGTCAGGGACAGGCTGTGCCCATTTCTCTAGACCTCTAGGCTGATGCCAAGTGGTCCTTGTGGCAGCACCCACTGCAGGGAGATGGTGACTGGTTTGCCACAGACCAGACGCAGTTGCCTGGCATCTACTGGCCTGAACCAAGCGGAATCCAGTGGTTGCGTGAACAAACCTGTGGCCCTGATGTCTTTGTCTCTTTCTTGTCAGCGGAACGTGTTACCTGACACCCACAGTTAAAAGGGGAGAGGGTTATTTCGGCTCAGTTTTAGTCCATGCTGGCTCCAAGGCACAGTGGTGTGGCACAAGGGCCTGGGGGAGGAGAGCTGCTCACGTTGTTCTGGGCAGAAGGGCAGGGTGGGGGAAGAGATGCCCTCACGGGTCAGGCCCCCAGTGGCCGCTCTTCCTGGCAGACACCACCTCCTCACAGCACGTTGGCTCTGGATTCTTCAGTGGACTCCACCAGTGAGTATATAAGACTCCATGATCCAATCACCCTCTGCACATGAGAATTTGGGGGCATTTTAGATCTGAACCGTGGCACCTGCTTACCCCCAGGATAGCTGACTGGCATGTGTTGAGGTTTACATGGCACAAGAGAGGGTCCTCACCACTCCTGCATCTAGTTCAGCTAACTTACCCTGCCCCATTCAGAAAGGCGGATCTGCTCTGCCCCCAACTGGTATGACTACTCAACCCTGATGTTTGTCCTGTTAGCTGGGCTTGCAGTATATCTTTGTCCCATGCACAATATCTTTGTCCTATTGGATATTACAGCACATTTTGAAGCTCCGACTATGTTCACCCAGCAGGCACTTAGTGACAAATGACCTTGTGCTATTCTCTCATAACTGCATTTCAGTGATGTTATAACCGTGCTGCTGTCAAAATGGAATTTTGCATCTGTATCCAACACGACGGTCTAATACAGCCACTCTTGTGTCTTACATGAAAACCCCATTAATCACTCAGCCCCATCCAATCCTACCCCTTGTGTAGGGGAGAAGTGAGGTCACTGATTTGGTTTCTGGGGCCCCTAGTGGGAAACATTCACTGTTATGGTCACTTGAGTAACACGCCTGTCTTTTGATTGCTGTGCCTGTACTGTGGCTGTGGACCCTGTTTATAAGCTGTAGCGAGGGCCTCACAGCACCCCAGCTCCACAGTGCTGAAGCCCTTCTCTGGCTCAGGGTGCATCACGGAAGCAGGGCTGGGTGGGAGGATGTATGACGATAACAGCCAGTTACAAGGGGTGGAGCACTGTATGTGCTCAGCTTGACATGAGTTGTGACCTGTGATTGCTCCAGGGTGACCCTCCTTCATTTTCGCTGCAGTGTCCCAGCCAATGTAAGAGGCAAATCACGAAAGAGGCATGTGGAGCTCAGGCGTGTGCTTGACCCTTTCATATTAGCTTGACATAAACCAGGTATGCCCTGTCAGGAGGAAGTCACTGTCTGAATCCACGAGTAGACACCTCTTTCTGACCCATCTTGTGGATCCAGCTGGTCTTTCTGCTGCCCAGAACCACACTTCCTCCAGCCAGCCCCCACACGTTTTACTCTGCACAGTCCTGCATGTGTCTTCCTCATTCTTCTCTCACAGCATCTTGCGGGGACCACATGCACTAGGGCTGGGTTGCTCCTGAGCAAATCCTAAACCTCCAAGTTGGTGTGTTTTGTTCCCAGTTGGTGAGGGAAAGGGAAGATACTGAGTTTACATCAAATGGCAGAGGTTCTCTGCTTGACCAGACTTTAGTTAGGATCCTCAACCTTCTCCTGAGCCCATCTGTGTGCTTTCTTATAAAATCAGCTATTGCAAGAATCCCACTAAGAACCTGCCCACTGGTATCTGGTCAGGCTCCATATCCTCCACCATCTCCAGGTGGCGCTCGGCCACCCCAGCCTGTCCTCAGGGAGTCTCCTGCTTGTTAGATTGGTTTGTGGAGTCCTCTTTCCTGTTCTTTTTCCTCTCAGTAATTTCCCACCCCCTGGCTCCACCCCACTCCTTACTCCAGCCCTTACCCATGCTTGTACCCCAGCTCCTCCTTCCCACACAAGACCCTGTTGCCATGGTCCCCACACCTACTGAGATGTTCTCAGCTTTATCGAGTATGACTGAATAACATCCTTTAACAAAACCAGCCAGGGTTTGTACTCAAGGTGCTGCTATATTGCAGACCAGGAATCTAAGGGTAAACCTGTCAGAAGAATGGGGATTTTTAAAAATCCATCTAGTGCCAAGTCATATTTGACTGAGTTTATTAGGTGGTCTTGTTTCTTACTGTGGAAAGAATTGTAGAGAAACCGGCGTTTGACACGGTCCTTCAGAAGGAAGCTGTGATGCACTGGTAGCAATCTCGGAGCAGTGGCACCGGGCTCACGTGTGTGTGCCACACACTCTCAGAGCTTCTTCCAGCTGAGGCTGAGGCCTGAGCTGGGGCTCCTTCTCGGCCTGTTCAGAGCTCTGGGCGGAAGCGGATGGAGATGCCTTCCATCTTTTCCCTGTAGATTTTCTCAAACCTCTCATTCTGGGCCACTGTGAAGTGGTTTTTCCAGTCCCCCACAGTTCCTAGAGGATGGAAACACAGGCAGGACTGTCACCCTCTGACTGACAGCAGGTGGCCTGACTTGTGCTGTGAGTGCCGTCCAGGGCCTCGCCTACCCACAGCCAGTCACCAGGTCCCCTTTAGGGGGATGGCCACAAACCCACCTTGCTGGAACCCCAGGCCTCGTGCCGGAGGGAGGTATGTGCTGGCACACAGGTGCATGACACAGCCATGCCTGTGTTTCAGGGAGCAAGCGTGCACCATGGGCTGGACGTCTTCTCGTCTGAGGGAGCCCAGGCACAGACTACAGGCGCCCAGAGGAGGTGGAAGGGTGGGAAGGGGCGTAAGAAGAGTGAGATGTGCCGTCTATGCGCACTCAAACCGGACGAGGAAAGAAATTACTGTGCACTGCAAACACCGGCTAACACAAATTTTAGGGAAATAAGCGAAAGAAAGGTGGGGCTGTGGGGGCCGGAAGATGGGGTGCAAGCCAGGCCGCCAGCAGGAGCGCTCTGATTTGCTGTAGGAGCGCTGGCACGGCCGGAGATTAGAACGTGGGAGGAGCAAGCTAAGCCTGCAGGGAGTCAGAGGGGGCTGGGAGGGGTCCCTCGGCCAGCCATGCACGCATCCCGGCCTGCAGTGCAAGTAAGAAAGGTTGTGCATCTACCCGGCAGGGGGGAGGGACTTCTAGGCTGTTGGTGGCTGCTGCTTCTTAAATAAAAATGACAAAGTCAAGGAGCGGGGCCAATTGGAATTCTTTTCAGAATTGGAACTCAGCTCTATTAGGAGCAGAAACTGCAGTTGGAAATTGTGATGTGTGGCAGGCATGTGCAGCATCAAGGCCCAGTCAGGAGCAGACACTTGAGGCAGCAGCGCTCTGGCGCAGGCACCTGGCACGCACAAGACCCCACCCCTGCAGCCAGCGTCCCCAGACCCGCTGATTGACAGAGGCCCCACAAACCTTTTCTCATGAAGGAGGAAATGGACTGGTCCATGATAGATTTGGGGACCGTGGAACGATTTGTCATAGGATTCTCTTTCATTTTCTCGAAGGACGTCTCCCGGACAATTTTATCCAGCACTGCTTCTTCCAAGTTCTTTCCCATGAACTGCATCACCTTGCAGATTTCCTGCTTCGGGTCCTAGGGTGAGGGTGGTGTGGGATTGGAATGGAAGAGTTTCAGAAAGGTGCCATTCAGCCCCTCCTGTCCCCCAGAAGTAGGCCCCGAAACAGATCTGAAGCCTGTGCTCACCCTCTTTATGTCCTCGTAGAAGAGGAAGAGCACCTGGTGTCTGTCCCTTACATCCCACCATCCTCTCACGTGGTCAAACCAGGAGCCCCAGGCCACTGCAAGACACAGAGAAGAGGCCACATTGGACGGCACAAAACCTCAGAGTCAGGAGGGTGTGGGTGAGAAGGATGACTGCAGTGTCAGGTATGCTCTGGGGTCCTGATCTGCTGCTTTTTAGGGTCTTGTCCATTGGGACAGCCTTGGTTCCCTTCCTTGCTCACCACCAAAGTGGCTTTATGTTGGTTTTGTGCCAACCCAGGAACCCTGCTGAGGGGGTAAGAGAGCTCTGTACCCAGTGGCCCAGGGTGGAGTCTTTTGGGTTGGCTGGGAAGTGTTTGTGGAAGGCTTTGGGTCACTGTGGAAGCTACCAGCTGCCTCCCTGGTTCCAGCCAGTGGTGGCCCTGACTGCGGGGGCCCTTGACATCTAGGGGATGAGATGTCACATGTGGCTTTCTGGACTCAGCCTCCTGCGGTGGGAACGCAGGTTGTGGAGTGCTTTCTTGTACCTTTTCCATTGATGAAGGCTTCAAAGTATTCTTCCCAGGTGCCGGGGTCAGGGAGTACTTTGTTCATCCTCTGGAAATGGTAATAGGAAACCATGCAGTCCTTGGCATTCCGAGCTACGTAAAGGAACTTGGGGTGAGAAGAAAGTGACTGAGAAATGTGACAGGTGGAATCCCACAGGGCTCCGAGGCTGTCCTGGGCCGGCAGGGACACGTGGCCTTGTGACCTCCTCCTGCTGGCTGCCTGCCCTTCTGCCAGCTCTGTGGTTTCCATCCCAGTTCTATTACTTCATGATCAGGCAGCCTGGCTCCTGATCGCCCTCTGTGCAGAAGCAAACCTTCCCGTAGGCGTGGCGACCTGTCGTCCATTAGGAACAGCTGTCTGGGTGTGAGTGAGCCCTCCAACACCGGCTCTGGGTTTCCTAGAGAAGCTGGAGGCTTTATGGCTAGGAGTTTGGGCCACGCTTGCTGGGCTCCTTGGCTGACCATGCACAGGCCTGGCCCTGGCCTCTGAGCAGCCCATGCCTCTGTGTGAGCGGCAGGGCTGAACATTGGCAGTGGGAGGGGTCAAGAGAGTCCCAGAGTAAAACCGGGGGCCCAGCGCCGGGGCCGCGCCCAGTGCTGGCTCCTCTCGCTCCTGCCTCTCCTGTCCACTCCATGAGCCTCCACCACCTGCAGCCGCCACCTGCCTTCCGCTTCCCTGGCTGCTCCAAGGAGTGGTCACTCTCCGAGGAGTGGTCAGCCCATGTCCTCTCCCCTGAGTGCACCCGTCTGCTCCAGGCCCACACCCTCCTGCCTGCAAGTTGCTCTCCTACCTTGCAGTGCTTTTCCCAGAAAGAAGGCGGCAGCAGCGCTGTGGACAGGTGCGTCCTCAGTGTCCGTGGGGAGGGCATGGCGTTGGCTTTGTCCACACCTATGAGACAATTCCAATTGGCATCTGCCATGCTCTGTGGGCCTGGGTTTCAGGCTGGGTCCAGAGAGTCCCACCACCTGCCTGTCTGCTCGCCTGACTTGGGGTCTCACCGTGGATGGTGGATGGCATTCTCACTTTGGTGGAATCATGAGGGACGGAGCCCCAGGTTAACTTACTGTCAGCTTCAGGGTGCAGGGTGGACCACAGATGGCCCAGCAGCAGCTGGGCAGGGGCAGCGCCAACCTAGAGCCCAGACTCTCTGCACCCTGGCTGCCCAAGCGGAGCCATGCGCTGGGCCCTGTGTGATCCTCCTCCCACTCCCAGAAACTCAGAGTCACGATTTCGACTCTCCTTTAAAACCCTCAGTGGACACGTGCTCTTTGCAGTCATGGTGCTAAACGACACAAGGCCCCGGAGAAACAGCCCTGCACTGTGCCCTAGGAATCATTAGTGTCTGGGAGGTGGTGCTGCGAGCTGTGCTGGTGTGGACAGAGCTGGGACTGCACCCGGGGTCTGCAGGGAGGCATCGGTGCCCTTGGACTTGGACCCTGACTCATGGTAGAAGACCGTGAAGATCAGTAAGTCTGGCCATATGGAGGAGGGAGTTTCGAAAGCCTGGAAATAGGAACCACTGTTAACATAGCATTTAATTTTCAGTGTGCAGCAGGGAGCTCTTCTTGGAAGCAGCCTCCCCACCACCTCCCACCTTGCTGGTGTAGGGTGAGGTCTCAGCGGTGACCACCTCTCCTCCAATGTAACCCAGGGACCCCCGATCCCCACAGAGGGCCAGGCCCTCTTCTGCCCGTGCTGTGTGGTTGGCGGTCCTCTCAGCCCTGAGGAACAGGGCCTGTCTGCCACACCCAGGACAGAGCGGGAGAGGAGTCCCTGCAGCTACCGCCCCTGGAAGCGCACAGCCAGGCCTTTGAAAGCCGACCCAGGGACTCTGCTGCTGGAAGCAGCCATGGGCCCGGGTGTGCACGGCTCAGAACCGCCCAGGGGGTGTGCGCGGGGCAGGTGTCACCTTGAACGCCTCGACTTCGCTTCATGTGCTGGGAACCCCCAGGAGTAATTCTAATAGTAAGTCACTTGCTACACTGTGGATGGAATCCAGGGCTTCGTGCACACAGCACGGCCCTACCTCTCAGTTACAGCCAAGGCATCGGTGCCTTCACGCTGCTGTGTAGCCATCAGCACCTCCGGTCTCTGAACTTTGCCATCCGGTGCCCACCAGACCCGACTCCCAGTCCTCCTCCTCCTCCTCGTCAGGCAGCCACTGTTCATGGTCTCTCCCTGGGCGCTTGGCCATGCAAGGTCCTGCATGCGGACTCACGGTGTCCCTGTCATGCAGCACGGCATCTGCGGCAGCTCGGTGTCTGCAGCACCCAGGGGCTGCAGCCTGGCTTGGAGTCTGCCCGGGAGCTGCCGCCGCCGCCACTGTGCATGGACTCCGCTTCCCTTCCCTCTCCCAGGGGCTGGTGTGATTGCGGGGAGCATAGGTGCGCAGATGCCTGCTTGAGTGCCGGTGTCCATTCTCTTAGCTACAGAGGTGGGACTGCTGGACCATATGCATGAGCCAGAGCACTCTGATGCTAGGGAAGAAAGCTGCAAACCACTCTGAAAGGGCGTCAGCGCCCGTATGCCCCAGGAGGCTGCACACTGTCCCTCCTCTATCTCTGTCTGCAGCTCTGGCCACACTCCTGCTCAGACTCGGCCCCTTGTCCACACAAGTGCTGCCCTTGGGCCACCGGCATGGTGAGCGTGTGTCCTCCTTGTGCAGCCCTGGCCCCGGGCGTCCCGGTACTGTGTTCCTGAGTTTCCGGTGCGCAGGTCCTCGGTCTGTGCTTCCTCCCTTGGGTGCTGGCTCGGGCAGGGTCATCTTCCCACCCTCATTCTGCAAAGCACTTTCCAAAGCTGCTTTTCTGCTTCCAGTTTTCTTCTTAATTTAATTTTCTTTTTTAGTATAAAAATAAATCTTCCGGGTTGGGCTTTCCCCAAAAGGGGTTTTCTAGCCAGCAGAGCACGTTGTGCCGTGGAGTATGAGGCACCTCGCTCTGTGGGGTGTGGGGAAGGTGTTGCCAGGGCCCAGGCGGGGTCCCCCTCCTTGTGAGTCCCCGCTGACGAGTGAGCAGAGGGTGCTTCTGAGGACGAAGGGCAGAGTCTGACGTGGCACCCCTCACCCTCGGCAGGTAACTTAGCTAATATGAGAAGCGGGGAAAGGAGAAGGACACTCGTGGCCACAGAAGCAGAGGTGGCAAGGGAAGAGCAGAGAGGAGCGAGCTGGGGAAAGGGGGGCAGAGCCACCGGGGCCCAGAGAGGCGGACCGGGGAGGCGCAAGGAGCTCTCACCCGAGGGCTGCGGCGGCCGTGCCCACTCGATGAACGGGTGGCGGTGCTGAATGATGGCCCGCTGGCACTTCCCCTCGTCCCCGTCCTGCTCGATCATGTCCACGATTTCTTGAATCCATGTTGTCCCTGAGGGCCGGAGCAGGGCGAAGCAGAGACCTCAGATAGCCAGCCCCGAAGCATCAGAGTGAACAG